TTAATATAAAATTTCTCTATACTATTACTCTAATTCTAACTCTTATCTAACTATAACTTTAACTTTAAAATAATAAAGGTTTATATAATTTGGTATATATATATTATAATACATCTATTTAATTAACTAATCAAATTATAAGATCAAGTATAATATGAAATTAAAAAAAATAGTAAAATTTCTAAAAATTTGCTTGTAGTTTAAAATTTTACTTATAAAACTACTTTTTACATTCTAACAAAAAAATTTCTCTTAAACTTTTAGATTAGAACTCCTTTCTAAAATATTTACTTCAATTCTAATCTAATTCTAATTTAACTTTTGCTCTAATTCTAAACTAATAAATTTATTATTGTTTTAATCTCATATTATACTAGAACTTATAAGAAGTATCATAATATATATACTCTAAAATATAAAAATTAATAATAAATAAAATAAATAGTTTTAATTTTAGGTTATATTTAATCTTATAATTATATATAAAATAGTATTATAGTACTATAGTACTATAAAAATATTTTTATTAATTTTATATTTTTTTTTTATTTTTCTTATGTTTTTACCATAGAAGGCTAAAAGGCTCTTTAATTTTATATTTTTACTTTACTTTACAAAAAAAATTTTTTAAAACTAATTTTAATTTAAGCTTTATACTGTTTTTAAACTATTCAAATTTATTAATACTTTTTTTTTTTAATTTAGACAATTTTACTTTTTATTTATTAAGAGTAAATATATACAAGATTTTTATTAATATTTATTACTATGTTATTTTTTTTTATTAGTTAAGTTTAGTATTAAAAAAAATAATAAATTTAATTTTTTTTTTTTATAACTTGAGTAATCTTGTTTGTTACTTTATTAAAAAAAGCTTAAATATAAGTATAAGACTATTCTAATATACAAGTATACACAATAAATCATCTTAGAACTATTTTGAACTAACTTAGCTGCCTTAAGAGTACTTAAGTTTAATCTGCTACAGAAGCTTATTTTCTCATAAAAACCTTGATCTATATATACAGATTTCTCAGAATTTGATCAATAATAACAACTTCTAGTCTAATATCAAGATTCTAAGTTTCTTTTAATCTTTTTTTTTTTTTTTTTTTTTTTTTTTTTTTTATTAAATGATAATATCAAATAGGAGAAGAATTAGTATATTTATATATCAAGGTGAAATATATGTGAAGCTAATGAGATTCCTATAATGCATTGCTGTTACTAATGCTAAGTTAGTTATCCAATGTGATATTACACCTTCATTTTCTATTTGTAGCTAATTTAAACCTAAGTTACTATTAACTATAGAGGAGGTTGAAGGAGACCTCTGGGTAAGTTATAGAAGATATTTAGAAAATATAGTTATGAATAGAGAAATTTTGAAGTAAAGATTTTTGGATAAAATTATCTATATTAAGATTGTAAGTAGTAATAGTATTTGAAGTATTTAGAGTTTGTAGAAGATGAATAGTTTTTGAGTTTGTTTTGTTTTTTCTAGAGATCCTATGAGAAGATTTCCATTTGTGATATGTTAGATTTCTGATATTCCAGATTTTGTCCTGGAACCAAATAAGTAGAGAGTTAGATAGTTGTATAAAGAAGTTATTAGTTGTTTTTTTAAGTTGAGAGTTGATTTGCTCATAGCAATTAATTGAAATGATTCCTTGAATGAGGAGTAGAAGAGTTTTTGGTAGATTTTGTGGATTATAAGTTTGAAGAATAAGCAGTAGAATTATTTGGGGTGTAGAAATTGTTAAGTTAAGACAGTTTAGGCTATTTGTTATATTGGTTAGTAATATGTTATAGAAATCGATTGTATGAAGTGTACAGGAAAGAAGATGTTCAGTATTTTCATATTGGTTACAAAAGGAGTAATTTAAGGTAAGGTATAGATTAGAGTAGTGAGTATTTAGATTTGCCATTGTTGGTAGATTGTTTAATAATATTTTGTTTCTGAATAAGTATAATTTGAGATTATTGTTTTGAGAATTTATTATATTCGTGAATTGGAGGATATTAAAAGGTTGGAGATTTTGAAAGGTTTTTAGTTGAATGATTTTGTTGAAGGATTGAATTGAGAGGATGATTATGCAAAATTTACAAATTTTGAGTGGTAGGAGTATATGTTTCTATGAAAAGAAAATAGGAAGGGAAAAGTAGTTGATGTTGAGTTGAATTATTAGTTTGTTAGTACCATGTTTGGCTAAGGAGTCAGCTATATTATGGAAGGAGTTTTTGGAATATGATTTGGTTTTGTGAGTGGTATATTGTATATTTTTCTTCTTGATCAAGTAGTTAAGTATGTGGATAGTATCCTAGTTGTTAGTTTTAGTTTGGGTAGAGTGGTCGTAGGGTAAGTTGTGGTTGAGTATTTGGATTGTAGAGAGATTGTCTGAGTGTAGATGAATTTTGTAATTATTTGGAAGAATAAGAAATAGATATATGAATACTGAGAGTTTTGCTCTTGTTGAGTTTGGAGCTGATGGGATAGATGCATTGAATTTAATTTGGGTATTATTTTGGAGTATCTAAGCTAATGTTTCAGGCGATATTGTTTTTTAATTCTGTAACATTTTGGATTTAACATAGTGATCCAAAATAATAAATTCAAATTCCGAATTTGAGACAAAAATCTGATATAAATCCGATAAGATCCTATATTTCCGATATTTCCGATAAAAATCCGATATAAATAAATATGATACAAGATCCTGTACCTGAGCAATTTGAGAACTGAATACTAGATTATGTCCTGAAATAATATTTTTTATGCTTTAGAGAGTGTAAAAATTTGAAGACTTTGTTAAGTTGAACGAAAAATTTATACATCTAAAGTCTTTATACTGTAAATACCCAATACATCAGATAGCAATATAATTATTTGATTTACTATCAAAAAGTAAAATGTGTTTTTTTGATGTTAAATAAATCTAATTACAGTTATTATAAGCAATTAAGAACCTGATTTATAGAATTCGGTCAGCATATGTTTACAATTCTTCGAATTGATAAGCCTTCTAAAATTTTTCAGCAAAAAGTATTGTATTCTGTATTCAACTGGAGATATACGTAGTATTTATATACAATATTTATATTATTCAATTTTATTAAATCTATTATGTTAAAATCAAAAAACCAGTACAGACTAGTCTCAAGACCAGAAATTGAATAATCGTGGGATTGGTTAAAGACTAATCCTTATTTGGTCTTTCAAGAACTATGATATAATACCTTTTTTTTTTTATATATTTGTTCAGACGACCCTCAAAATTTTATAGTTGGTTAGCTAAAGATGTGTGAGATGTTTTAAACAACTTTCATTTTAGAAATTTTATGGATTATAGTAATTTTCTGAATCTTTTTTTTTTTTTTTATTAATTTTGAATCAAAGAATCAGAAAAATTTGTATTTATTGAACTACGTTGATTGATTTATACATATTGTATATTGATTAATTTAACATTGTATCAACTTCCTTTTCAGGATCCCAATTTTCCTCATCAATATTGCTCTTGGTATTATTAATTTGAACATTACTATGTTCCTCTTCAGAAGATTCGAAGTTGTTATTAAAAACTATTTCACCTAAGTCATTTGTAAAATCAGCTACATCAAGATTCAACAATTCCTCAATGTTAAGCACTTCTTCTTTCAGAAACTCCACATCTTTTACTTCACTAGTGAGTTGTTCTTCGTCGTAGTCATCAACATCACTAAGATTTATATTAGATAATACTTCATATAAATCTTCAGCACCGAGGTCTGGCGATCTTAGTGTAGTGGTTAGGTTGCCAGACCGCCATGCAAGAGGTCTGGGGTTCAAATCCCACT